TTCCAGCGAAACTAAGACAGCTGCTCAAGCGGACACTAGCCCAAAGAGCGATATAATTGAGGTAATTGTGAAGATTTTATGTGTTTGTCTCTCTACATAAATATGTAGTATTTGAACAAACCTACCTCTTTTCTCACTCACTTCCAGAAAACCATACTCTCATTCCATACGCTGCTCAGCGAGAAAGATAAATCCATTAGTAAATATCAAGATCTATTACAAACTGAACGTGAGCAAATACAAAATACCACCGCCAAGCTGAACAACGAAATTGGCGATCTCAAGAGTACGATCACGAACTTGAATTTCAACATTAAAACCAAAGACATGGAAATACTCGAACTAAAGACACAACTGGAGATTGCATCTGTGCGTCGACATTCTGCAGAAAAACTTGAACTGGCAACAGGAGCTAGCGGCGGTGGTGGTGGCGATGAAAGCGGAGATAACAGTTTGAATGAGCTAACCGATGAGAAAATCGAAGAGATGTTCCAGCAGGACCCCGTACAAAGTGGACGTGAGACTACAAACGCAGCAGATGGAGGTGAGCAATTGGAGAAACAGGATACCGAGTCGATGAAAGAGCTACCAACTTTGTTGAAGCAAGTGAAAGAGCTAAAGGATAAAGCTAGCTATTGGGAGAAAACGTTGGCTGTTAAGGAGGAGGAGCTGAGTTTATTGAAGGAGAAGTATGTTATGGCTGTAATTGAGATCATTGCGAGACCAGTCGATAGAATATGTTTTTAATTTTTAATTTATTTACAACCATTCAGAGTAAATCTTTACGAGGAGCGAGAAAAATCAATGGAGAGTGCTGTTAACCCGGAAATGGAACAATTGAGGCAACTACTAGAGGAAAAGGACAAGCATATCAATGAACTTACGGAAACCCTTAACAATTTTCACGTAGGTGATTTTACCACAACAGAAGATTGTAATTGTTTTGTTAATTCGCATAAAAAAATTATTTATCTAAAATTTTTTAACCATTTTTAGTTTTTCCATTATTTGTAGATCGTTAATATTACACTTAATTTTTACTTTTTAAATTTTTTAATATTTGGCAGTTATTTTATTACTTTTTAATGGTTTGCTAAACTTAATCGTTTTCTTTGATTGTTATATGTTTGATCTAATTCAATCGCAACTTCCAGATATTTTCAATAATTTTCAATAGTCAAATATCAAAACAAAAATTTTTCAAAATATCTATATATTCATTCACTCGAGCAAAAAAGTTTTAATTTCTAAAAATTGTAATTTACGAACCAAAAATGATCGATTAGCAAAAGTCTTTAGAAACGATAACTTATATTTTTTGTTATGAAAATGGTTAAGCCTTTCTTCTTTTACAAATAAAATGACTTTAATTACACTTTTATAGCCGCAAAACAAAGTCAGGGCCGGAGGGTACGATTTCACTCTATTTCCTGTATGGGGAATCGAACTGCATCATTCATTCTTTTAATTTTTTCATATCCTATTTTATGGTTTGTAACTTTTATTTAATTGGTTTTTCCGCAAACTTTCGTTGCAAAGTTGTTCAGAATGCCACAGGCCTTAAGTTTTGTGAAAATACCAAACCCAAAAAAATAAGTCTTAGAAACTTTTAGGTGGAAAATCAATAAAAAATAATTTCAATTGACCGTTTTCCCGCTACCACCCCATTAGAACCATCCCTGGGGAAGGAATTTCATTACAACTATCCATAATATTCTAACTTTTCATAGTCACTTCCTCGTTGATTGCAAAATTATTTTTTGTAGTCATTTTGTAGTCGATTTAAAGCGCAAAAAAAAATATGACAAGTAATTTTTAGCAAAAAAAAATACTTAAAAAAAAAATATATATATATATATATACTTCGTGAACCAATGATCGGATCTAAACCAGATTAGTATGGGACCACCTCTGAGACACTACCTTTCCGATGCAAAAAGAATTATCGAAATCGGTTGACGTGGTCCAAATTAAAAAAAAAAACAACAAAAAAAAAATATTCCGACGAACTGATAGCCTCCTCCTTTTTTGGAAGTCGGTTAAAAATACACATACGTCTTTATTTTGTATTCACAAATCACAATTCAACCTTTCAGGTTGCAGTCGGGCCCTAGGGAGTGAGGGAGGGGTCTAATTAGTTTTTTGTAGTCATTTTCGATTTCAACGGCTCAAAAAACATTGGCATACACATCCATCTCAGCTCTGCGCGAAAAATGGAATTTCAATCCCCAGGGGTGGTTGTACGGGAAAATGATACTGGTTTACAGCAAAAATGTTCAATGGATGCCACTATCCAATTTCTATGTAGAATTGCTCGGTGATTCCGAGCTTATTTTTAACCGACTTTCAAAAAAGGAGGAGTTTATCAGTTCGTCGGAATATTTTTTATTTAACTTTTCTTAATTTTTTTTTTATGTATGTTACCGCATAACTTTGGACCACGTCAACCGATTTCGATAATTCTTTTTGCATCGGAAATGTAGTGTCATACTAATTTGGTTTAAATCCGATCATTGGATCATGAAAAAATTAACGGTACTCCTAAATTTTTATAGGAGATTTGAAGTCGGTTTTGTTTTTTGCTTAAAAATTACTTGTTTTTCTATGGATACGTTTTCGAGATATTTACCGTTATTCAGGTTAAAACAAAAAGTTGTTCCAGTAATCCGTATATCTTACGAACCAATTTAATAATCTTAACATCAAATCAACGCTAATAAAATTCTCCATAAACCATATATACATAACTTTCCGATAGGACTGATAGTTTCTGACAAATTAATTAATCATTCCAATATTTTTTTTTTTTTTTAATGAAAAAAATTAAAAAAAAAAATTTAAATTTAACAGAAGAAAGTTTAAAAAAATAACAGGTTCTGTGCCAAATTTTTACATTTGTGCTAAAGCCTGTTCTGTTACAAAAATAATCAAGTTACTAATGAAGGAAAGCGAGGAATAAATAAAGAAGTAATGAGTGGTCAAATGAAAATACGCAAAGATTTTTTGTATGAAAAATGAGCATTGGGGGCAAAATTAAAAAAAATATATATATATAAGAAGGCGTGCATGAAACTTAAAAAATAATAATAGTGCTGTTCGATTCCCCATACCCGATATAAGGCGAAACCATCCTCTCCGGCATGTCTTTGAAAAATTTTGAAAAAATCCATCACAGTGTTATCTATGCAACCTCATTTCCCCCCTCCCCTCCAGGACGACCAACAACGCTACTTCAAGGACTCCTCCAGCTACTCTGCCGATCAGATATCGAAGCTACATGCCGATCTCACGCGCACCGAGGCGACGAACAAAATTTATCACACCCAAGTGGATGCACTGCGACGCCAGATCGACAGCTTAACTCAACGTGAAAAACAAGCTCGCGAACTAAATCAATCGCTACGCAATCAACTTATTAAACGACCTGTGGTTTCCATTAAAACCGAATTGAATGCGCGAGTTAAAACTGAAAATCTACAGAAGCGCATACACTCTCTCGAGCTGGAGCTGGAGGAAGCGCGCGCTCAAATACAACGTCAACAGATTGTGCTCGATGCAAAGCGTGCGAAAAGTGCATCCGAGGTGGGGCTGTGGGAGAAGCAGAAACGTTGGCAACAAAATGCCGAAAAGTTCAAGGCAAAATTCGAAGAGGCAGATGGCGCGTTGGAGAAGACGCGTGCGCTTCTACAGTCCGCGCGTACCATGATCGCGCGCTTGGAAAAGGAGAAACAAATGCTCGAAATGAAGCTCGGTCGAGCAGGGCAATGTGGCGCAATGCAAGCTATGAAGTGTTGTCGCACGCCATCGTGTCCCAATCTGCAACGTGGTGGTGGTAAGTATACGCCTTCTGAGAGTCCGGAAACATATACAGGCGCAAGTAGTGAATGTAGTTCACCGGCGCATAGCGCGAGTGAGCGCCATAAGCATATGCTGACCCACTTCTGTGCTGCGTCGGGTGGCAGTGGCAATGTATGCGGCGCGGCAGAGAAGCACCAGCCGCATGCGGAGTTGATTGAGGCGCTGAAAGCGCGCATCGAACTGCAGCAACGCAAGATACTTGCAATGGAGTTGGAGGGTAAGGGCAGTAATGCGCTTACTACTGAAATGGAAAAATTACAGGAGAAACTTTCGGAGATCGAAGCGCAGAACATACGTTTGGAAGCGAAGAACTTACAGTTGCAACTGGATAACGATTTGATGCGACAAGGCGATGCAACCGAGCGTTTGGAGAAGCGCATCAAATATCTGGAAGAGTAAGTCGTACATAGCTGTAGAATGTTACTTACTCTAAACAGAATCAATATTGAGTGTTGAACTTTTTTGCAGCTACATCATAGCCTTAAAAGAGGAAATGGCGCAAGCTGAAGCACGTCGGGACCTCTGTAAATGCTCGGGCATCAAGTTAAATACGCAATTAGGGCATTCTGCTGAGCAGACTATACTTTCGTTGCGTGGCATTGTGGAAAAATTGCGCGCAGAAAACAAGTTCCTTAAAGATGGGCGTCGTGCATGCGAATCTCGAGTGAGTATGGAGTTGGTTAGTAGTCGCAATTTGAATAAAATTTTTTTAATTCGCCTTTTCAGAATATAAATGAAACAACTAATGCTGATGTGAGTAAACTTCAAAAACTTTATGCAGAGTCGCTGGATAAAATAGCTTTTTTACAAGTTGAGTTGAATGGAAAGACGAAATGCAGAGCCTGTGGGAGGGTTAGTTAATAATAAAATACTTAAATATAAAAATATATCGGTTAACCTATAGTCAATATAAATTACGTATCCATTTACACAGGCTGATACCCATGTTAATGACGAGATGTCCTTTATCAAGGAACAACTTAGTAAAAAGACGCAGCTACTGCAAAAAGCTAAAGTTCTACTCACACGCGCCGCAGCCAAAGAAAAAGTGCTAAAAGAGCAGCTTTTATTATGGAAGCGCAAATGCTCCGAGCTACAAAATGTACCAGTGATAGATGAAATAAGTGAATAATTGCGCAAGCTACAGTGGAAATATGTGAAATTTTAATTTATTGATTTTCTTCAATCTTGTTTAACATATTTTTTTTGCAATATACTTGCGACAATAACATAGTAAACCAGCCAAAAACTTGTAGTTTCTAATTTAAAAAATATGTTGTTCATTTCATTTCAACTTCATTGGGATGGTACTTTAACTGGAGTGTAATAGTGGTTGGCATATTCACATCACTGACCATGATACTCGCACCATCATATAGTCCCAATTCGGCCAGCGACATTGTAAGATTTCCGCGTGTTTGTTCCTCTATATTCTTCACAGCGGACATATAAAGCGTTTTATTTTTGCCGTCAATAATTGTCGTCAAACCTGCCAAAAATATATATGTACTCTTTACCATGATACAAAAAAGACTTTACTACTTAAATTGCATTATATATTATTTTTTTATATTTCACACCTGGACTTTTTAGCTGAAAACGCGGACTATCGCAAAGTATTTTGATTAGATCATCAAGCGTAGTTGTATTTGGGTCATCAACATTTAAATCTTGTGGTGTGTTACTGCAAGCCAAGCAAATATCGCTCTTCTCCGGCGGATAAGTGTACGTGTAAATGCCTTCCATGTCGTTAAAATTCATGTAGTTATTCATGCTGTCGTAACAACTAGTAGCCAATTTGAAGACCTGTGTATTAAGAAAAAGCATTAACAAATTATTCTACAACTGTTGGACATCTTTCGTATTTACCTCGGTGGCGCAAGCTGCAGCTATTACGGCATTGGTGCTCGCCACAGCTGGAATGATGTTTTTAATAACACCTTGCACAAGCCTTTTAAAATAATTTAAAAGGAAACACGCGACAGGAATTAATACGAAAGTAATGCTTTTCTGTTAATAGATCCACTCACCTGTAGGTGACTCCGGAAATATTGTATTGATTTGCACGCTCTAACGAACGTTCGTATACCCACGCAACATGTTGCGGATCGTCGCCATCTAATGGTACACTAAAGGGATTTTCTTTCTCCCATTGTATGATTTTTACATATTCTATGCAATGTTCTGGCAGACGTGGCGTATTGGCGATAGTGCACAATGGATATGTAACTTGCGGTGGAAACAAGTCCAACGTACATTCAATGCAAGACGTGAAACCAGGTAAGATAACACGCGCATTGCCTTTGAACCCTTCAGTGCCGCCATCAATCAATGGAATAATTGTTGATGGATCAACACTGCCGTCTTCATTGTAGTCCAACATGGAAATCAACATGCCATTTATCCAACGACGCGCCACTATCGAATCTAGTCCACATACTATGATATGAAATTGTGAATAAAAACTTTCATCAAAATCTTGAATTTTAGAAAAATGTGGTGTCACGCGGCAAGTGGGTACACGTTCGTTTATAAAGCGCGCTGCACACTCCGCTTTCGATAAGCCGAGATCTTTGCGCCGGAAAAGAAATTGACGATTCAAGTTCGACAATTCTATTGTGTCCATATCGATTACATGCAAATTGCCAAAACCCATCATTGCAAGATCTTTCAGCAGCTCACATCCAAGGCCGCCGGCACCTAACACAAAGTAAAACATAAGAGTTTTTTTGTTCGTTTTTATTAACATTTACATAGGTACCAATAACTAGAACTTTAAGCGCAGTTTGTAAAACTTCCAAATTTTCGGCTGATGCTGTAAAATCAGCTTTGCAGAATGGTCCCGGGCGCTCCAATATATGGCGTAGACTATTCCAACGTTTGCTGTTTAATGAGCCGAGAGGATTAGGTGACCCCGTAGAAACAATTCCTAGATCAGTAGCCATTTTTTTATATATCACAAGCTAAATTTAATAAAATCCTAGACCTTTCAAACTAATTGAATAAAAAAAACCTAAAATCGTAAATCAGCTGGAGATTTTAAACAGCTGTTTACCGGCAAAACAAAAAGGCAGTGGTGCCAATTCTCTTTAAAAGATATTTTGCGCCCATTGGTTATGGAATACGTTTTCGCCCTATTACGTACGTGGAAGGTTATAATAAAATAAAAAAGCATAAAAATTATGGGCATAAATGCGGTTGGGCCAAAGAACGTAAGAACGTAAGTTAGATTTACCTTCTTTGGTAGAACCCGCTAAAAAAAATCGTTTTTTTCACTCTTGTTCTTACGTATCTTGTGTCTTTCGTTCACGGTATAAAATATCGTCAATAGTATCGATAGTCATGTACTGTTGATAGTCAGCACCATCGATTGTTGCGATAGTGACGCCCCATCGATACTATCATAGTGCCATCGATAGTTTGCCTTTTTTATTATTATTTATTTCAGGATAACGCCAGTTTTGCCGCCATTATCATAGGAAAAAATGTGATCTACATCGAAAAATTTGAGTTTTACCGGCTGCCACGCGATTAATGAAAACAAGAAGGGACTTGATATGTTTACACCATTAGAAAATATTGAACTGTCCACAAATGAACAAGGTAGTTGTTCAAGGAGTCCAGGTAAGGTTTTTTTTTGTGGTTTAAATGAATGGCAAGGACAAGCTTGTCCCCACAAGGCCAGCTTAATACTCCGAATTACAAGCACAAATATTGTTAGTTGCAGAAAAAATCGCGATATACTAATAAAATGAGAGTGGTGGACGGTATGAGTGCCGCCAATAAACCAATAGTACTAGAATTAGGATTTAACTTCGATTTTTTGCAAAAATTTCGCTAGTTGAGCGTTCTGTCTATCAAAATTGGGAAATATTTCAGTGAAGTTAGTACAATTCTGGAGGACCTCGAATTCCTCCCTGGCTTCATTGAGCGGACCGCAGTCAAAGGTTTGATCAATTTTTTTTTTTTTTTTTTTTTTGAGTCTAGATTCTAGGCCGGGATACTTAGATCCACACAAAACCGCGGTTGTTCCTCTTGGGTGGTTGTTTCGACGATATAAAACGATGGCCAGCCCAGTGGGTCAAAAACACTAAGCTGCTGCAGTAATGTATTCGAAAGTTGTTAGACGGTATTTTTTGTCAAATGCTTAAATGTGCATAAGCTTTGTCTTTTCCATAGACTTTGCTGCATGTTGTTAGGTGAGGTTTATAACGAAAGGCTTGTGGCCAGTAGTACTTTGCGCATCAGTCGTCGTTGTGATCCAGAATTAAAAATCGAGCAGCAATGTAGCTTGGGGGCTTATACGTATTGACGTATATTTTAACAGCGTGGATTATCGGGTTTTGAACGAAATGGGTTCGGATGGGAATGTTACAAATACAGGGTTGTACATAAATACAAAAGGGGTTTAGTAATTAAAAATTAACGTTGGCTTTTTGTAAAAATTTAGAAAGCTGTGTAACCTTGGCAGTGTTGTTTCCATTAAAGATCTCTCCAAAAGTTTTGTGGTTTTTGAAAATTTCGAAATTGTTTCTGATATTCATGAGTCTCCTCCTGCAGTGGAACGTCTGGTGCACGTAGCCACCAGCTTGTCCACAGAAACATTGATTTGTATTTAAAGCATTAATTTTACATAAATAAGTTCTGTCATAGGTATGACCGGTTAAGATTCTATTCAGTCGTTTGACCTCAGCAGGGGACAGTAAAAGTTTCCTGAACCATGTCTGTTTCTTCCTATTGACAAAGGTAGAAGCAAAGAGGTTAGGGTGATTCCGTGAGTATTCCAAAAA